TTAGGCCTCAATATCATGTTTGGGTTTGGCATGGTGAGAAGGGATCGTATAGGGAGAATGTTGTTGGCAATGATACGAATGTTGAAAGTGCCGAGATTCATGTTGAAGAAGAAAATGGGAGTGATGATGGTGGTGAAGGGGATGACACCGAGGATGGTGGTGGTGATGATCACTTGGATGAGATGATGCGTGATGTTGAAGGTGAATTTGGTGACCGACCTGATGTATTTGAGTCATTATCAGAGGCTGCCAAAAAGCCTTTGTATCCCGGGTCCAAAAAATACACAAAACTCTCAGCCGTGCTTACACTATTTAACATTAAGTCTAAGCATAACTGGAGTGACACTAGTTTCACTTCTTTGTTGACTGCGTTATGTGATATGTTGCCAGATGGGAATGAACTTCCTAATTCCTATTATTATTCAAAGAAACTAATGTGTCCATTTGGTTTGGAGTATAAAAAGATACATGCATGTCCTAATGACTGTGTTCTGTATCGAAATGAATATGAAGAGTTGGAGAAGTGTCCACGTTGCGGTAAGTCGCGTTACAAGCGATCAAGCTGCAATGCTGGTAGTAAAGGACCTCCTGCCAAGGTGTTGTGGTATCTTCCTATTATTCCAAGGTTAAAGCGTCTATTTTCAATTCCAAAAGACGCCAAGAACTTGAGATGGCATGCTGAGGGAAGAAAGAAAAATGGTTTGTTGAAGCATCCTGCTGACTCTCCACAATGGAAGAACATCGATATGAAGTTTAGGGCATTTGGTGGTGAAGTCAGAAATTTAAGGCTTGGGTTGTGCACAGACGGTATGAATCCATTTGGCACTCTTAGTACTAAACACAGCACATGGCCGGTACTTTTAGTGATTTACAACTTGCCTCCGTGGTTGTGTATGAAACGGAAATATATAATGCTTTCACTTTTGATAACGGGGCCAAGGCAACCTGGAAACGACATTGATGTTTACCTTGAGCCCCTTATTGATGATTTGAGAAAGATGTGGGACGAAGGTGTTACCGTTTATGATGCCTATAAGAACGAGATGTTTCTTTTGCGTGTTGCCCTTATGTGGACCATCAATGATTTTCCTGCATATGGCAATCTGTCCGGGTACAAGAACAAAGGGCATAAAGCATGTCCCATTTGTATTGATGACACACCGAACGTGTACCTTTACCACTATGGCAAAGATGTGTACGTGAGGACCCGAAGATTTCTTAGGCGCGATCATCCGTATCGTAAGCAGAAAAAGGCCTTCGATGGGAAAGTTGAGGAGGGGGTTGCGCCTAGGCCATTGAGTGGAAAGGAGGTTTATGAGAGAGTGAAGGGTATTCCATGTGTTTTTGGTAAAACAACGAAACCAATTGACCCACACGCTCTCTTTAAAAATGAATCAATCTTTTGGAAGCTTGAGTATTGGAAAGAACATGATGTTAGACATTGTCTCGATGTGATGCATATAGAGAAGAATGTTTGTGATGCAATTCTGGGGACAATTATGAACATTCCTGGAAAAACGAAGGATGGCAAGAATGCGCGGTTAGATTTGCAAGAGTGGGGTGTTCGTCCGGAGTTGTGGGTTCAAGCTAAGGTAAGGATGGCGAAGGTTAAGGAAAAGGGAAACGAAGATGGTGGTCAAAACCGTAAGGGGAAGCGCAAGGACAAGGCCACGAGTATCGCAAAGAAGAAAGGTGATGGAAAAGGAAAAAACCAAAAGGTGTATTTACCTCCAGCTTGCTACACATTATCAAAGGAAGAAAAACGAAGGTTTTGTGCTTGTTTGTATGACATTAAGCTTCCTTCTGGGTTCTCGTCAAACATGAAAAGATTTGTTTCCTTAAATGGAGAATTGAAGTTGACAAGTATGAAATCCCATGATTGTCACATGATGATGCAAGTTTTCCTACCGATTGCACTTCGTGAAATTTTACCAAAGCACGTGAGAGAAGTTATAACAAGCCTCTGTGGGTTTTTCAATACTATCTGCAGCAAAGTTCTTGATCCCTTTACACTTGATGCTCTCCAGGCGACTGTTGTGGTAACTTTGTGCGAATTTGAGATGTTTTTACCACCTTCACTTTTTGACATAATGGTGCATTTGATTCTGCATTTGGTTCGTGAGATTAAGTTGTGCGGTCTAGTATTTATGAGGTGGTGCTACCCTTTTGAACGACACATGGGTACACTGCAAGATAAAGTAAGAAATCCAGCCCATCCAAAAGGCAGTATGATACAAGGAATTGTGTCCGAGGAGATTGGGAATTTCGTGGCAGAGTATGTTGCCGTTGCCGAACCTATTGGGCTTCCTACATCCCGACATGAAAGGAGACTTGATGGTCATGGCACAATCGGGTCAAAAAGGATCTGGGCTGCTCGAGATCAAATCATGCAAGCTCACTTATTTGTGCTTCATCATATTGCGGAGGTTAACCCATATTTAGAAGAGCACATGGATAGTTTGCGTGCTGAATATCCATCAAAAGGGGAAAGAGCACTAATGCAGTTGCATAATAAGATGTTTGTGAACTGGTTCCATGATCGTGTGATGCGTCAATTGGATGAGACTGTGTCTGATACAATAAAGTGGCTAGCTTATGGTCCGAAGGAAGATGTTCATTCATTTGAGGGATATGATATAAATGGGTACACATTTGGACTGAAAGTCGGGATCCGAAATCCTCATCGACTCAAAATAGTGGTGTCACTCTTGTGGCTTTATCAAGAGAATTTGCCAGTGCGAAGGATACATCACCAGTTGACGTACTATTATCATACTATGGACGAATTCAGGAAATATGGGAACTAGATTACCGTGACTTCAAGGTTGGTATATTCAAGTGTAAATGGGTCGATAATAATAGGCGCAACGTGAGAAATGATGACTTCACTCTTGTAGATCTTGGCCACTTGCGGGATAGTCTTGAACCATTCATCCTTGCATCTCAAGCTAAGCAAGTGTTCTATGTAACTGACCCGTCCGATCCAAGATGGTCCATCGTCCTATCTGGCAAAAGGAGAATTTTAGGGGTTGGAGAGGTTGAGGACGAGGAAGAATATGATGCATTTGATGATTCTCCCCCTTTCACTGCTCCTACACTTGATGTAGCAACTGATGTAGATGATAATGCTACTTATATTCGATCTGACCACAATGAGGGAATACACGAATGAGGTACTTTTATTAATGCATGTTTCATTTACTAAATATCTTATGCTCCAACAAGTTTGTTTTTATTTCGGGAAGTGTTTTATTTTTTTTGTATTTTCAATGTATAAGCATGTAATATTCACTAAATATATGAATTGTTTAGAGGATTATATGTGAATTTGTTATGAAACCAAAGAAGTTGGGTAAGTGTTTGTCTTTCATCGTGCCTCAGAATTGATTGCCATTACTGATGACTAACAACATGCTTTGCTTGTTTACTATAGGTGTGCACATATCATGGATCCTGATGAGAACCTTCATTCTGATGAGGATATAGATGATGATTCTGGGGACGAGTTGTATGATGTTAATAAGGAGACGGATATGGGGGAACCGGAAGACCAAGCTTATGACCAGTTCCAACATAAGCTTGATGAATTTGAGCGTATAGCTGAAACTGCCCCACCTATTAATGATAATGTGGTTACCGAAGTTGTAGGTGATTCACATTGTGAAACTCAAATGCAAAGGCAAGTGAAAAAAACCGGTGGTGGAGGAGGGGTAAAGCCACCGGTGAACAGAAAGAGTAGGGGTGCAACTAAAGCTTTCAAGAAACCCGGCGTTCCTATGGTGCTTGAGTTTGATGAGTTAGGTCAACCTACTGGCCAATGACGCGACAAATTTTCTAGTCAAGTTGGCATTGTAACTCGTAAAATACCAATCACACTTGAGTTTGCCGAGATACCTCACGAGTTGCTTCAAACATTTTGGGACGATACTATGGTAAGTATTTATTTAATGCAATCAAACTTTTTTTTTAAATTCATATATATAAAAAAAAAATTTGCAAAAACAACCCCCGGGCCTAACCCAAGGGCTGCAGCCCGGGGCTGCTGCCTGGGCTAGCTGCTGCAGCTGCCTCGGCAGGTGCCTTGCCCGATTCTCGGGTTTTTTTTTCTTTTTTTTCATTTTTTTTTCTCTTTCCTAACGTGGATGTTTGGCGCGAATTACAGAGTATGTTCCATATTCCTGATGAGCCGGCCAAGAGAAAAGTGTTTGAATATTTTGTACAAGAGAGATTCAAAAACTTCAAGAGTTACTTGAGGACGAGATGGATCCATAAGAGAAGAAAGAGAAGACCAAAGAAAAATGTGCCTGCAGATAGAGAAGAAGAGAAACCTGATAAGAAACCGTGGGATTTATATCCACAAATAACGGTGGATTATTGGGAGAAGTTTGTGGAAAAATCTTCCACTAGGACCGCACTTGTATGTTTTTATTTAACAATAGAGTCGGCTACTCATATTTAGTTTCGTACAATGACTGATGCTAACATATATATCTGAATGTGTAGGAAAAAACCGAACAAGCTAGAATCAATGCCGGAAAGAAATTGTATAATCATCATATGGGTTGTAAGACCTTTGCGGAGTTAAGACCAAAGTGGGTCAAAGCGGGTCTATACCCCAAATCCATAATGTCATCAACCGATAAACCACTTTCTTCCTCGGTGACAACTTTGGTTACTCGTGCAATTGACTGGTGGTGTGCTATGCATGGGTTGGACAAGGAAACCGGCAAGTATGTCATGCAACCGGATAAGAAAGTAGTAGCAGATGCACTTGTAAGCAAATTTTTCTACTTATTAATTGTATTTCCTTGTCAAGTACATTGTACTTAGATCTGATAAATTTTTATGTGTTGTTAAAGCTCGAGCATACTTCGGAAGTGATTGAAGGCAAGCTGACTCCAAGCATCACACATGATCCTTTCACCTTAGCTTTGGGAAAACCATACCACCCTGGGCGAGTAATTGGTTTTGGCGGGAAACAACTAGGGTGGGAGAAGGTGATGGGTTCAGAATACACCAAATCAGCAAAAAGCATATCAAGTGTTAATTCGCCAAATCGGATTGATGAGAAGGAAAAGGAATCAATTAAGGCGGAGATACGCGCGGAGCTGCAAGAACAGATGCAAAGTCAATTCAATGCCATTCTGAAGCACATGAACTTGCCGCCTTTGCCATTTCCCTCGAGTACCCCAGTAGACTCATGTAGTCACCCAGGAGGCCTCGAGGACGATCCAGTAGTTGAGAGAGAGGTCATTTTAGTACTAGCATGAATTACGTCATATGAAGTTCGTCTATTGAGGTCGTTTGCATGTTTAATTATTTTACTTTTGCAGGATCCAAGTCCTACGGATGCAGAGTCACTGAAGAGAGCAAATCCGATACCTGAACCTTTCCCAGATGTTAAGGTGAACTTCACTACCTAATCAGCTTTTCTTATGTTAGGCTTTCGTTTATTATTTCTTAATTTATGTCCTAACTCCTAACCAAATATGTAGGAAGAGACGCCTTGTGAGCTTCTTCACCCCGGGGAAACAACCGGTGGACAGTTACGGTTGGTGGGGTATGGTAGTGCACAACCTTTTGACAAGGTGCATTTTAAGTCTAATACTAGCACCCATTACATCTCGGTCGGGATCGATTCTATAGTTGCTGGGTTTGAGGACTTACCACTACCGGTGCCTAGAGAGGAATATGATTTTTTTAAGCTGCGTGACGCAACCGGGAGCTTTGTGCAATGGCCACGTGATCGGTTGAGGTTGGTAGGAGGGGTAAGTAAATAATACTTGTATGTAACTACTTGTATGTAACTAGATTAACATGTGCTTTGTGCAATGACCATGTTTTTTTATGCTACTAGATTACTATGGAAATTCAGTCCGCTAAAAGAAAAAAGGTGGAGAAGCAAAAATCCAAGGAAGAAGGTCCTCCGAAGATGGAACAAGGACAAGTGTCGAAGAAGAGTTCGAGAGCTTCATGTACTCCACTAGTAGAAGCCAAAGTCCTTAGGTCGCTTTCGAAAGCATGTACTTTTCTTCACAACCGTGTTAGTGAGTTGCCTACAAGTACACATATTCAAGTGAACTTGCCTAAGACATTGTTCCACTATGATGAGGATGCGATCGCATACATTTCTAGAGAGGATGTGACGGAATTTCTAACCAGTTCCATGCTTAACATATCCATCATTCAAACATTCATGAGGTAAATTAATGAGACTATTTCTAAAAATATTGTATTTTTGATATTTTCATACCAAAACAATGCAACTAGTAATTACTTGCACACATTACTTTCTTGAAGGTCACTACAGGAGCTCCTTACTAGTAAACCCGATGGTGAAGCAGCAGTTGGGTGGTTATGCCCCGAGCAGACCTCCGTAACCAAATGCTTGAATAACCCTCGTGATGTGATAGATTACCTTGAGCGGGCTATTAGAGAATCAATGCGTGTGGGAAACAAGTTCTTATTAGCCCCTTGTTTTGAGGAGTAAGTGTAAATATATCACTCTTAGTTTGTTTGTTAAGTATAGATGTTGACGCATAACAATTGATTGATATGATATTTGCTTTTATATACATGTAGTCTACATTGGAGCCTTTAGTGATTTGTGTTTCCAATAACACAATCTACTACTTTGACTCGGCTCGTATATGGCCACCAAGGAAGTTGCTAGTGAATAACCTATTGAATAGGTACATACCGCTTCCTATATATTGTTTTGTATCACCACTTAAGTGATTGAGTGGCTATGTTCCTAAATCGTTTGTTTTTTATTTTTTTGAAGTGTTATGAAGAAGTTGAATTGTCGTTCGGTTGCAGGTTCCACGTGGAAATATGCGAAGGTAAAGCCTCGATATATTGATTTTTAAAAAAAATTGCCTTGAGTTTTGGCTATGCATGACTATTTTAACATTGTGTCATTTTAGTGTGCGCAACAAAACAACGGCGTTGACTGTGTCCTCTACGTGATGAGGTTTATGAATGACATAGTCAATAGGTGCACTGAAGCCCAACACATTGAGGAGGTACTTGTTTTTACTTTTTTCCGGTTCGATTTCGGGTAAAAGCCGTCCTAAAACTAAGTATAATGCTAGTTTGCTATGATTTCAAACATTAGACACCTAAGACTAGTTATAATTGACATGTTATGATAAAGAAATTGCTCATTAGATAAGAAATGTAGAAATCGGGCAACGTAGTAGTGAAACAGACGATTTCAGGTAAATGCCGTCCTAAAACTAAGTATAATGCTAATTTGCTATGATTTCAAACATTAGACACCTAAAACTAGTTATAATTGACATGTTATGATAAAAAAATTGCTCATTAGATAAGAAATGTAGAAATCGGGCAACGTAGTAGTGAAATAGGCGATTTCGGGTAAATGTCGTCCTAAAACTAAGTATAATGCTAATTTGCTATGATTTCAAACATTAGACACCTAAAACTAGTTATAATTGACATGTTATGATAAAAAAATTGCTCATTAGATAAGGAATGTAGAAATCGGGCAACGTAGTAGTGAAATAGGCGATTTCGGGTAAAAGCCGTCCTAAAACTAAGTATAATGCTAATTTGCTATGATTTCAAACATTAGACACCTAAAACTAGTTATAATTGACATGTTATGATGAAGAAATTTCTCATTAGATAAGAAATGTAGAAATCGGGCAACGTAGTAGTGAAATAGGCGATTTCGGGTAAAAGATGTCCTAAAACTAAGTATAATGCTAATTTGCTATGATTTCAAACATTAGACACCTAAGACTAGTTATAATTGACATGTTATGATTAAGAAATTTCTCATTAGATAATAAAAGTAGAAATCGGGCAACGTAGTAGTGAAATAGGCGATTTCGGGTAAAAGCCGTCCTAAAACTAAGTATAATGCTAATTTGCAATGATTTCAAAAATTAGACACCTAAGAATAGTTATAATTGACATGTTATAATAAAGAAACTGCTCATTAGGTAAGAAATGAAGATATTGGGAAAGTGAGCACCCGAGGCAACTACAGCACCCGAGGCAACAACCTCGGGTTATGCTAGGCAGCTGCAAGCAGCCAGCCACCAAACTGCAACAGCTGTCAGGCAGTCGCAGCAGCAGCCTGTGCAGCTGCCAGGCACCAGCAGCAGCAGCCTAGGCAACTGCACATGCACCCGCAGCAGCCACCTAGCAGCTGCAGCAGCAGCCATGCCGCTGCACAGGCAGCTGCTGCAGCTACAGCAGCTGCAGCAGCCACCAGGCACCTGCCAAGGCAGCTGCAGCAGCCACCAGGCACCTGCCAAGGCAGCTGCTGCAGCAGCCCAGGCAACATCCGTTCGTGAAACCGAGCCGTTCATGCTACTTTGTGTATTTTTGCGTACTTGCATTGTTAGTGTATTATGGACAATGTTTGTGAAAAATAAGTACTTCACGGAATAAAATATAAAAAAGGGTAAGTAGAAGTGGAAAAGGCGATTTTGGGTAAATGTCGTCCTAAAACTGAGTAAAATGATCTTTTGCTATGATTTCAAACATTAGACACCAAAGACTAGTTGTAATTGACATGTTATGATAGAGAAATAGCTCATTAGATAAGAGATGTAGAAAACGGGCAAAGTAGTAGTGAAATAGGCGATTTCGGGTAAAAGCCGTCCTAAAACTTAGTTGAATTCTAATTTGCTATGATTTCAAACATTGGACACCAAAGACTAGTTGTAATTGACATGTTATGATAGAGAAATAGCTCATTAGATAAGAAATGTAGAAAACGGGCAAAGTAATAGTGAAATAGGCGATTTCGGGTAAAAGCCGTCCTAAAACTTAGTTGAATGCTAAATCGGGCAAGTTAGAATGATGTTTGAAATATTTAACATATATACATTATTATTTTTAATTATTAGTTTGAATTTTATGTAATATATATGAATGATGTTTAATGTTTGGTATTTTTTTTGTTTTCAAAGGTTTGTAAAAGGGAAGGCCCTTTGACAAAGGAAGAGGTTTATGAAATTCGCTACATGTGGGCTTTTTTTGTGACATTTGATGGCATCTAGGTAGAATATATAATATATATGTGTTTATTAGATAATGACTTGGATTGAGTTTTATTATTTTTTTTTATGAACAATAAATATTTATATTTAGTTGTTACCATATCTTTTTTATTTTTATATATAGTACGTAAATCCATATGTACATTATATTACTTATTTGTAATTAGTACTATACATTATTTATGAGTTTTATATATGTTATTATTATTATGCATTTTATTGTTATTGAATTATTATTATTCCAAAATTTGTAATATTTTTAATTAATTATTATTTATTAATATTAATTAATATAATATTATTAATTAATAATAATATTAATAATAATAATAATTTTTAAAAAACTGGAATAATGTGCTTCTCAAACAGGTCACTAATATTATTATTATTAATTATTATATATATTAAAATAAAAAAATAAAAAAATAAAAAAACTACAAATGGGAAGCGGTTTGGCGCCAAAACTGCTTCACAGCGCCAAACCGCTTCCCATTTGCACTGCACATAATGTTATGTGAAGTGCAAATGGCAAGCGGTTTTGGCGCCAAACCGCTTGCCATTTACCCCAAATGGGAAGCGGTTCTGAACCGCTTGCCATTTGCTTGGCAATTGGCAAGCCCCCTAAACCCATGCGGTTCAGACCCGCTTCCCATTTGGGGGTTTAAACCGTTTCCCATAATGTTTTTTCTACTAGTGTAAGAGAGTTAGAGAGAGAAGTAAGAAAGTGAGAAATGTTGGTCGGGAAGGAAAAAACCGTATTTATATATTAGGGGTAAAATTGGAATTTCAAGACAAAAAGGGAGCGTTACCCGGTAAAATGGGAGCGACAAATAACAACACCCAATTTTTTTTGCTGAACTGAAATTATTTTTTAGTAATTTTTTATTATAATTCTTCTTTAAGATAACTGAATTTTATTGAAGTGAACTTATTTTTACTGCACTGAAATTATTTTTACTGAACTGAAACTATTTTTACTTAATATTATTTTATTAAGGTGAAGTGAATGTGGCTTAAATTAGATGTACCTTCGCTATTGGATTCACTAAAAAACAAAATATATGATCGAGTAATACTCTTTGTAACTACTCTCAATATGATTTTATACTTTCTTCACTTTTCTTATATTTCGTAAAAAATATGAATTAGACATTTAATTATACTATAATTAGTTATATACACCAGGGTGTACTGTTCACCCAACTAACTTAAGGTTTTTTTTGCTTTTCATTTGATGATAAAATGAAAAATAATCATCAGATGAGAAAAAATAGTCATAGGTGTACGGTACACCCGGGTGTGTATAACATTTTCTCATTTATGGGACGGAGGGAGTAATATTTTTTTATAGCTAGGTAATAAAATTGTTAATTATTGTGACTTGAAATCTAGTACGATAATGGCAAAGGATCGACTTCAAACACACATATCTCTCAATCAAAAAGTGATATCAAGGTGATTAAGTTAAAGATGATAGCTAGTTTCTAGAGCTCTCTAACAGTAGGTCATATGCCCAATTCCGATAAGAAATGAGTAAATTATGGTGGTTCTACGAAGGACTATCGAAGTTAGGGAAGAGACACGAATGTGCCCTTTATAGCACGTCTGTGCCTGGTCGAGTGAAGGGAGATTTTGCTTCTTTATGGGTAAGCTTATGATGGATACTAATGGTGATCCTTAGAGAATAATTTAGGGTTTCTTTATGGTTTCCTTATGCTATATAAGGAACTATTGACTAGACAATTATTAAGTGCTTATATTGATTAGCCTAGCCAATTCAAGTCATTATGTAACCCCAAACCAACTATATATTCTTTATTGAACAACTGAACAACTATATGTTTATTCTGCCTTTTTTTTATAAAGAAAATCTTATGCACGGAGCATATTGCATCCGTCTTCCGGGAAAGGATTACATACGGCAAAGGGTACCTAGATTGAGATGTTGAAGGAACGTAAGTGGTAAGGCTCTTGTAGTTTTTAGTAATATTTGGTAAAGAAACAAGGCGAGGATAGTTTTGCAAATTTTGAAGGAGCTAAATGTTGGATTTACTGTGGTTCAAATTCTATAAGCCTAATCAACTACTTCTAGCACTACAAGAATTTCTATTTGGATACTCATTAGTTAAGGAAAATTAAAACGTTCCTATGCACTACAAGAAATGACTTCCTGGTATAATTGTCAAAAGTAATACAAACTTTGAGCGATCTTTTAAAACTATGTCAAAGTTTTAATTATTTTTAAAAAAATACAAACTTTAAGGGATATCTACTTTAAACAAGTTATTTTACCTACAACTTATTTAACTGATTATTTTTTTTTTATTTATCTTATAAAGTTGTTTAATAGTTTTAAAAAATAATACAATGTCACGTGTTCTATATAAGCTATTCATGAGGTAACTAATCGGTTTTAACTTGTTTAAAGCGGATAACCCTCAAAGTTTGTATTATTAAAAAATAATTAAAAATTTGACTTGTTTTTTGCAGATTGCTCAAAGTTTGTATTATTTTTGACAATTTCTCCTTCTAAAAAAAGGAATGCTGAAATTAAACTCATTGATAATGTCAATGAACATGATTTTCGGAAGAGAGACAACATAACTACCCTAGTAACGTAATTGAAGTAAAATCCGTAAAAACAAAAAAGAAAAAATGGGCTTGGTAAATTTTTGGGCCCTCTTATTGTTTGGGGCCATGTGCTAGCGCACACTTTGCACACCCCTACCTAATATTTGTCCAATTTTGTTCAAAGTGTCCATACATATATACATATTCTGAGACCTTAAAAACCATCTAAGTTCTAATGACGAGACCAAATAACGCCTAGTGCCTTAGTTCCTTAACTCCTACAAGCTAAATAGCTAATGCATTCATAGTTCACACATAGACGAAATACATGACAAAGTTACCACCAATTTACAAGGGAGGGTGCCATAATAGTAATGTGGCTTATTGTTTGAGACCGAGCAGCCGAGGTAATACGTACTACGTAGTTTTTATTAACTTTGCTTTATATTTAGCTTGAGATCCTTGGCAGAATGGTATGCAACTCATTTCTCTTTATGCCAATCTCTTTTATACTTGACAGTATTAGTGCTAATTTATCAAATATGACCAAGCCATAAGTAGTATTTCATTTATATTACTACCTCCGTTACTGGTTATGTGCAACAATTAGACATTTTCCCTCTCTGCTTTATGTCAAATTGTTGCACATAACTTATAACGGAGGTAGTATTAAATTCTGTCCAACCCAGCCAGTTAACAGCAGCAATTGATCGTAATTCGTAAGCTCAAGACTCAAGTTTTGTTAGAAAGCCATTGCTTTTCACTACGTGATCCCTCATAAGCTCTATCTGGTATACCCGGCGAAAAAACAAATGATGATTTTGTCAAAGAACATACAACCAATAATCTTGTTCAATAACTTTGACATTAGTTTGATGTGGACTTTATTAGTTTGATTTGTCAACTTGTTACTTATTACGTGGTTCGTGCTTGCTTATCAGTCTATTATCAGATAATGAAATGCGTTATACACAAATCTGTCTAAATTTATTTGATTATGATTGATTCTGTTTGAATGGAAGTAGATTAGACTTATTAAACCCTTGTTGAAACTTCAAAGCTGAATTAGTTAAACAAGACTAGTAAGTAGTAATAATAATAATAATTATTAGACAAGACTAGTAATTATAATCACAATACATTTGGCTTTTCGAAGCATCTATAGGTAGAAAAGGCTTATTAAACCTTTATGGTCCGTTTGTCGTCGAAATCATGGTGATTCTAATAAGTAGACTACTAGTAAATGATAGATACAAAATGGAACAGTCAAAACCAAAAATTAAATATTTTGTGTAGATTTAAAAGAGCTTGATCCAACATAATATTGTTGCTGCACAAACAATAATATCAGATTTCTTCTATTTCATCTATTTTTCAATCTTGTAAGAAATCATGAAAACAGAACCATATCTTGCTAGTTCTGCTTCAGCCCTCTTGAAGAAACTCGAGCCTTATAACCCTGACAAGCCAAATATCCAAAGAAGCTCTATCAAAAAACAGATTCCAACTTCTGTTAAAAAATTAATTACTTCACTTGCCCTCATCCGTTGCATTGATAAGATACAAGATAAGAACCCGGAGTATTATGATCAAGCTGAGCTGCCAGAGGACCTCCTCAACGATGTCAAGGACATTGTTTATGATTACAACAATTTGTCAGATGAGATTGGGATAGAATGTTTTGTGAAGAAGTTGCAGCAGTGGGAGTATTTCTCCAACTTTACTTATGATGTGCTCGATGAATTTGAATGGAGGGCTCAAGATGTCAAGAAGGGGCGAGGAACCTGCATTGTAACAGAAACAATGAGCTTATTTCCGGGACTAAAACTCCATTATCTTGATCTCCCATATCGTATTAGGCCTTGTTTAGTCTATTGCTCTATGTATCCGAAGGGTCACAAGATAGTGCGTGAAAATCTTATAAATCTGTGGATGGCTGAGGGGTTATTATGGCCCCCTTCATCATCTAAGGAAGATCCTGAAGATGTTGGAAACCGCTATTTTGATGAGTTGCGGTGGAGGGGGTTCTTTGAAGAGCCGGTTTTTGCATTTGGTAGTACGCGTGAGGAGGAAGAGGAGGAACGAGTTATTTATAGTTGTGAGGTGCCTGACAATACACATTACTTTGTGAAGAAAATCGCGGGAACAGAGGTTTTTAATGTGTTTGGCAAGCAGAGATATAGCTCCTTGGAAGGTCTAAAATCGACCAGGAGGCTCGTGTTGGACAAAGATGGTTTGTCTGAAGAAGACTTTCTTAAGGGCCATTGGAATGATCATAGGGTGAAAGCATGTGTATTATTTGGGGCAAAGCCTCAAATAAAGGACAATTTCCTTGAGGAGATCACTTGGAGGTTTGAGAGGTTACTCGTATTAGATTTATCTGGAACCGAGTTCAAGGAGCTCCCACGATCAACTAGAAGACTCAAGCACTTGCGGTATCTAAGCTTATCGAGGAATGGAATCATTGAAGCTCTTCCTTACAGATTGTATGAGTTAAAGTATCTTCAAACATTGGCTCTTGACAGCTGCCATCAGCTGCAAGAGTTGCCTTCATATGCAAGTGACTTGACACGGCTAAGAAACTTGTATTTGACCTCAAAAGATGCCATTCTTTCGGAGACCATCCTATCAAGGTGGAGCTCTCTTAGAATCCTCGAGCTTATTCATTGCAAGCGGTTAGCCTCCTTATCATCGGAGGGTTTCAAGAGCCTTATCACATTGAGGAAGTTGCGCATCTTTGATTGTCCAAGGTTAGTTTCTCTTCCTGACACTATGAAGTACTTGACTCACTTAAAGGAGTTAATTCTTCATAATTGTCCTGAGTTAGATCTAACTGAGGGCGAAGCCATGGAGGAATTACTAAACCTTCGGTCTTTAGAGATCATAGGCCTTCCAAAGTTGGTTCGGCTGCCTGTGGGGCTTAAGTCTGCCAGTACACTTCACTACTTCTTCATCGCAAGATGCAGAAATTTATCAGATTATTCGAGAGTGCTTACATATCTAACGTCACTTCGAAGATTCTACATTTATGATTGTACAAATTTGACTGAGTTACCTGAAGGCATAGCAGTTGACTTGCAAATGCTGGATATCAGGGGATGCCCTGAATTGAGTAAAAAGTTAATGTTCGAGGGTGTGGAGGAATGGAATGTGATATCTCACGCGCGTGAAGTTATCATTGATGGACAACGACTCCATGTAAGTTCTATAATTATAATGTCTTGCATCATTAGTATACTTGGAGACAATTTAATTATATCAAATTATCAATACCTTGATTATATACATACTAGTAAGAGATATAGCATGGATTTTACCCATCATATAATTCTAAATTGTTCTTCCATTTGTTTATTATGTATTGCAGAAGAAGTCAAAACATGCTTCATCATCTTCAACAAACAACACTACAAAAGCATTGAATTTACCTAAGTGTATCCCCTTCTTCAGCTTGAAATTACAAACTCTTGGAATTGTAGAAGACTACTGTGAAGGTTCAAATCTTTTTCTTTCTTTTTTTTCTTACTTGAAAGGCATGTTTGGTATGTAATTATCTAAGATATACTAATAAAAATTGGAGAAACTTGAAAAGTAACTTTTGTTGGTAGGTAACTAGTTTGAGAAAATACAAGTTTATCAATATGATAAACAAAATTATCATGTATTACGGCTTCTATGTAACTTGAAATCCGTATTTTTGTTTTAAGGAATGAAATCCATAACTGGCACAAATATTTTGTTTTAAGGAATGCAATTTGTATGTACTTTATGCTAAGAAAATTTGTCATGTATTACGGCTTCTATGTAACTTGAAATCTGTATTTTTGTTTAGTGAATTGTAGTCTTTTTAATCATGAAATGAAAAGAACTTCAATTGTTCAATATCCAATTTTCATTCTTTTTTGTGTGTGTGTGTGTGTGTGTGTGTGTGTGTGTGTGTGTGTGTGGGAATTTTCAATTTTACTTGGTAGTTTGCTAATGTACTAACTTTCTAGCAATTTTTCGTTGTACAGACAACAACATTCAAGAGGAAACGACATTGCTAGATCAACAACAAGAGCCTCGGTTGGAAAAATGCAGTGAATCATCCATCAAAACACGAGCTCAAGATCTATTTGCAAGACTGAGAGATTCAATATTCACACAAAATTACAAGAAAAGAATGTTAAAATTATCTGAGATAGAGAGTCCTACAAATGTACCTCCAGCATCTCATTCCAGTAGCCTAGATCAAGTAGAAGCAAAGCTCTTTTGCTCTCTTTTTCCTAAGGATCACGAATTCGAGAAAGACACAATGGTTCAGTTATGGATGGCAGAAGGTTTTTTAAAGAATGAACCTTTGGAATTTCAAGGTGATCAATTCTTTAACACTCTCTTATCAGAAGGATGCATCCTAGAATCAAGAGTTGACAATCTAACGGGAAAGACAAAGTACAAGTCCAATGTTGGTGATGAATCTACAACAAAGATCGTCGACAAAATGACTATGTTAGATCATATACCTAAGGAATCCATGCATATGGCTTTGGTATGTGACGACATTAGTGAAAAAGCTTTCGAAAAGCTTAAGGAATTTAACAACTTGAAGACACTCTTATTCCTTCAAGACTATGGCTCTCGTATCAAGCAAATTCCTTTTGAGTTATTCTTAGCTTTAAAAAGTCTACAAGCTTTAGACTTGAGTGGAAGTTATATCACTGAGTTGCCAAGTTCAATTGGGAATGCAACAAAATTACAATTTCTCGATCTGTCAAAAACCCTCATTAGATCATTGCCTGATACCATTGATCGCCTTGAAAACTTACAAACTTTGAAGCTCATAGAGTGTGTGCATCTTTTTGAACTACCTAGAGGTATAACAAAGTTAACCAACCTTCGACACTTGGAATTTGATGTCCTTGGTCAGTTAACTGTAATGCCTAAAGGAGTCGGGGCTCTTTCTGCTTTGAGAACTTTATCAGGCTTCATTATTGATGGCAAAGAAGGTTGTTCTAATATTGGAGAGCTCAAACTTATGAATAACCTTAGTGGAAGCCTTTGCATATCGGGGTTAGAACATGTAGAAGATCCAGAGGATGCCAAGAAATCTTCTTTGGGTGATAAAATTAACCTTAAGAAATTAGAGTTGAGGTGGAGTGACATTGACCAAGATTGGACACATAAAGAAACAGAGGTATTAGCACATCTTGAGCCAAGTACAAGCTTAGAAGAGCTACAAATACTTTGTTTTCCCGGTGTTTCATTTCCATCTTGGGTAGGCCATCCGTCGTTTCACAAACTTGTTAGCATAACCCTCCTAAAATGTAAGAACCTCTCCCTTCCTCCTCTAGGAAAGCTACCACAACTCAAGCATCTCGAAATTATTGAAGTAGATAACGTGGCAAAGATTGATCGACAATTTTGTAGAGGTAGTAGTACTAAGGATGATGTCGCGTTTCCTAGGTTGGAGAAGCTAGTTGTTGATGGCATGTTTATACTAGAGACATGGGAGGGAGTTAATGATGGAGATTTTCCTAACCTTTCCGAGCTTAGCATTAAGTTTTGTCCTAACTTGAGTACGCTCCCAATGCTTCCTCATCTTCCTCCTCTCAAATATTTAGAATTAAGCAATTGTACTTCACTTGAATCAGTGCCTGATGGGAGATGTCTTATTTCTTTGGAGACATTGTTGATCGAGGATTGCCCTTTGATCGAAAAAAAGTGTACAAAGGGAGATGAGTTTCGAAACAAGATACAACATGTGTTAGATGTGTGGATTGATGGTTTGGAAGAGGACATGGGATTAACCTCTAAAGAGGTTGAGATGAGACCAGCAGCTATAGAAGTTGTTCATGATAAGAAGTTGGAAAGGGTATTATATCAAAATACTTCTACTCCTAACCTTGTTTTTTGACTTGATCATCGTCAAATATAAACTTCCTCTGTTACACAAATATTGCAACATTTCCCTATTCACGTGCCTTTTCTCTTTCTCACTTCTCATTACATGAGTCCCTATCTTTATTTCTCTCTATCCCTCTCCTCTTCTTAAAATCCGTATCCACTCCCCATGTTGTAATATTAGGGGAACGAAGGAAGTATATGTTTGGCCCTCATTATCGACCATAAATTTTGAAAGTGAGCATTATATATGTTGTTGGAGTGAGCTTGGAGAATGTTAAGTACAGTCAAATGTATAATAGACATATTATTGAGGGAATCACGGATAAGTATTTTTTGCTCAATTTCTCCATTTCTCAAAAAAGAGATTTGAAGACTTTTTACACCCTTAATTTGTCAAGCTCATTAATACTTGATTGAGGTTAAGGGTGCACTACATTATCTTTTGATCTGCAAATCAGCTTGTTTTTGAATGAGTATATGGGCGCTGGCAGCGGCCAATGGTGCTATCTTCGTGACTTAGCCGCGGGGCTTGGCTTGCTATTAACCTTTAACAAAGCCAATGCTTCACTTTTTTTCCTGGCTCGCCATTCATATGCATCACCGTACCAAGCTTTGGAGTTCAACACTGCTTTGAGTTAGTGAAATGTTTTGTTGGTTGCCTTGTATTTTCTTTGGTGAGAGTTTGTATCTAAGGTTAAACCCTTTGTAAAAATTTGTATATAACTGCTCATATATATTATGGTCCAAAATTGATGGTAAAGCATCTGTTATCCTTGATTAAAGACAAATAACTTTTTTTCCATACAATTTAAATATGATACAAATTTCAAATGAAGGTGAGGGATTTCAGCCTATGATATGTCAATGATGTCATACATATGCTCTTGTTTAGGGAACCCAACTACTCATATGTTGATAAATCAGAGACAAATTATGTAAATCGGATCTCAACTAAGCTCTGATACCATGATAAATCATAGACAAATTATGTAAATATATTCTTTGTATTCTCCTCCCTTCATGATCACAATATACACAAATATATATAGCTAGGTTAACAACCTAAAATTTCCATAATATTCTACCGTATCTTTTCATAAGATATGCTACCTAAATATATCACAATAATATCCTAGAGTATCTAGAATATCTCCAATATATGTATTCAAATTGGATTTCATCAAACTGTAATGTGTACAAGTGTCTCTTGTTTCTAAAATTTCTAATGCTATGAAATTAGTCTTCCGATCCCAAATATAATTTTAATCACAAAATACCATCGACAATATTTAAAAATCAACCAAAAAAAGGATTGTAGTATTTCAAAGGAACTACAAGTTCTACAAAGAACTATCCTTTGATCTATTCAGCTGTTCAAAATTTCTCATTCCTAGCAATATTAGTTTACTACTTAAATATTGTCCTTGCTCTTTAAATACAATATAGCAAATTAGAGTTTGAAAAGTAATATATTGACTTTGTACTTGCACAATACTTTATTAGCCAACTATTTCAAAGGGACTTGCACAATAATTTGTACAATTCACAGTACACCATTTTTCCTTGTAAGAAATACATGTACGCGGTATGGATCGGAGTAGTTTTTTCAATTCTAGACTAATTGACTAGGATTATCCAGGCGCATATTCGATCCTCTCCTATTCTAAAATTTTCAAGTTTGATTGTGGTTTCCATCGAGGGATATCTATCTATAACTTAATTATAACTAAAATAAAAACTGCTTTCATTACCACTGTACACATGTCAATTTCTCATGAAAAATTTTCCAAATTACACTGTGAACATCATTTAACCAAAAGCGTATTATTGATATTTCTCTTTCCAAAAACCCATATTTTGTGAATTAATTATTTTATATTGTATTGAATTTTTTATTCTAATTCGTGAGGAGTGCTAATCTAGTACTTATACAAATTGATTCCTTCAAAGCTTGCCATTTCTTTGTTGTGCCATTTCTTCGTTAATTTAGTACATGTACGCACTAACTTATACTCCAAAAAAAAAAAAAAAAAGGCCAAGATCATTAAAATAGACTTCAAAGTCTACGCTACTTTTCTCAAACAAATGTTGTGGGACTATTATTTTTAACTTTCTTCGTTTAAGGCGTTTCTTAGATCCCCCATTACGCCACTGTCACATACTCAAGAGTTAGTATTATATATTATTGGATCACGATACTCCATACCCAATATGCTTGAGTTATTTTGCCTACACTTTATGTTATTTTGCTTGAATCTTGTGTTAAATAGAAATTGCGCTTATATTCTAATCTTGCACACAAATAAATTAATAGGACATTTTGTGAGAAACTACCTTTTAAAGTATTTTTTTGCAAGAAACTACCTTATAAAAAAAATGTTGTAAAAAACTACCTTATAAAAGCTAAATGTTGTAAGATACTACCCTTGATCGAAAAGTGAGAGTTGACTTCCGGCGTTAACCTAGTCATGTGCCGGTCACGTGACGTTGAATTCATCTTTCCCAATTTTCCCCTAAGTTTCCCCGAGTCTATCCATATAATACCCAATATGAATTAAATGTCATGTGACCGGCACATGACTTGGTCAACGCTAGAAAAATTTAGTCAACTCTCACTTTCCGACCAAGGGGTAGTATCTTACAACATTTAGCTTTTATAAGGTAGTTTATTACAACATTTTTTTTATAAGGTAGTTTCTCGCAAAAAAAATTGCTTTAAAAGGTAGTTTCTCACAAAATGTCCAAATTAATACTATACTACAAAAGTATTGAAAACACATTTAAATTAAACACCTTTTAAAAAAATTTGCACTTGCAATTTAGAGTAACGTCCAGATTATTTACTAATTTATTAACTAAAAAGGAAAGTGATTGCATTTAAATTGAAAAATCTATAATGGAGAAAGTAAATGGAATAATCAGATTAGTAGGACTTTTTCTTGAATGACAATTAAAAAAATAAAAATTTGAAAAAAGTGTACATAATAGACATGCTTAAACGTATGTTCTCAATTTAGCTCCTGGGTCGTCTCATCCATATATTCAAGGTAGTCACACAAGAATTCGGAAACTTTGCAAGCCTCTGAGTCGTCAATTTGCTGTCTTATAATCTCCAGGTAATCAATCACTGCCTAATATTACCTCCAATAATGCTTTGAATTGTATGTAATTTCTTTCACTTTCAAGTATTTTCTGTCATTGATCTATTCACTAATAATCAGTTGATTGAGCTACATTACATACTATGAAAAATTATTTGGGATATCATCTATAAATTGGGTTTGATTTCAATCACAATGCCTTTAAAAAAAAATATATATAGAAATGGATTTTTGACGAGTGGTTTAAAATTACTCTATGATCTATTGATTGCTTGGTTAAGAGAAATTTGATCATACCATGATATTGTGACGATTGTATTGATACATTGGGAATTATTGCAGTCTTACTTTGGTATTGACTTTAACATTACATAAATTTAAATGTAGTGAATTCAATTTAGAAACTTTTCTTCTTTATTAGATTTTGAACTTAGGTTCACTGGCATATAAATTCATATCCTTACAAAAAATAATACTCCCTCCATCCCCAAAACTTTGACCCTTTTGGTCTAATTTTAGTCCCAAAATAGTCGACTCATTTGTATTAAAATACCCACCAATTTACAACAATATTTGTGCAAAATTAGCTTCTCCATATAAAATTTTGTTTTTTCCATGTATTTTTAATACTTTCTCTTTATTTTTTTTATACAAACCTCATGTAAATTTATCTTTCCAATATGTTTTTATTTCTTTTTATTTAAATTTCTTAATAACCGGAAATCAACCAAAAAGGTCGAAGTTTTGGGACGGAAGGAGTAATAATAATAATAATAAATGTTATACAAGGTATACAAAAGCATAAATAAAATTTGTACACCTAAAGATAAAGTTGTTTAGTTGTTGATGGATGCACGCTCAACCTTCACCTTTCCTTAGTAGGCATCACATACACAAACCCCTTTCAATATTGTTTTTTTTCCCCTCGCAATAAGATTTAATCTAATTATTGGCTCTGTTACATGTTTTGATGTTCATAAACGTGTTTTAACAAATATGTTAATGATTAAAATTGTGTTATGACAATTGTAAAAGTCAAAATGTTGCATATGAATTCCGCATTTACCAATCATATATGTTCATAGTTTGAGTACAGTCTAAAAATATACGTAGTATATAGATATTGCTAATTGTTGATTGTTAGCATCCTATGTAGTCATATGTAGAATGAAATGGATACCCATTTACTATTCCCTGATTTTTGCAACCTCCGTGTTCATATGCAGAAATCGTCTCATTATGGAGTATGCTGCAATTATATCTCCCTTGTTGAAGGCACTGATTGACATAACTCGAAAACGGCTTAGTAATCTGAGTAAAAACTTGGATTACGTTAAACATTCTGCTGAGGAAGTGCCCGTGCTAAGAGCCCTTGTCAGTAAAGCAGTTGCCCTGCTTTATAACAGGGATCACATCTTGCAGTTACAAGTTGACAACTTTGATGTGCAAGAGCAGGTGTATATCATCACCAGCATCTGCTATGATGCAGAAGATGCAGTCCATGAGATGGAATTCGAGAGCATGATGAGCGCATTGGAACCCGTTACTTGCAGAAGTGGTGCGGGGATATCTGTAAGACGCAATCATAATAGGATCAGGGATCTTACAAAGAAACTAGAAGATGCAGTGCAGAACTTGCAGAGCCACCTTCAGTCAGTCCAACCTCAATTACCGGGGCATGAGAATAATATTCCTATCGATTGGTTTCTGCCTCCTAGTCCTGATTTGCTTGTTGGAAGGAACGAGGAAATTGAGGGCCTTGTTACGGAATTGACATCCCCTGAGAGGCAATCTCTTGGTGTTACAATAACCGGAATGAATGGGATTGGAAAGACGGCACTTGCACATAAGATTCAGAATCATGCTATAATCATGGCTAGATATCCTCTTAGACTTTGGGTTTCTCTTTCAGGCCCTTTTAACCCACAAGAAGTGCTCGAGGAATTGGTAAAAGATTACATAATAAAATATAAACGTCAGCTAGATCATGACCTTGTGCGTCACAAAATCACTAAAATCCTCCAGAATAACAAGTGGTTGATAGTTTTGGATAACTTGTTAAATGTGACGTCTAAGGAAGTTTGGTCTCATTTCTGGTCTATGATTCATAATTTTCCTCAACATGGAAAACTTATCATTACCACTGTCAATCGTGATGTTGCTCTTGCTACTAAGACTACTAGTCATCGGATGAAGTCTGTGCCAAACCTCGTTTGTGAACTACTGATCACAAGGATGCTCAATAAATCACGTGATGTTGAGTATGTTAGCACACTCGCTCAAATGTGCCATGGCTTCCCAAGGGTTGCCATCATCCTCGCCAATCACTTCAATAATGATATAATAGACAACCAAGAAGATCAAGGGGGTACGTTGTTGAATAGGGACCTGTGGGAAATCCAAGATTTCAAGAGATTTTTTGTAATAGCTCTTGCGACAAGTTACTCTATGTTGGAACCACACTATGTAAAGATGTGCTTCTCCTATTTCTCCCTCTTCCCTCCCGGCTATCATTTCAAAAGGGAGGACTTAATCCACTTATGGATTGGAGAAAGGCTCCTACGATGTCAAAGCAGATCAAGCTTGGAGAACATTGGGATGGACTATTTTCACACCCTTTGGAAATGGTCTGTCATTCAAGTGTCAGAAGACTCCAATGAGCAGAAAACATATGAAATTCACAAATTTACTCACATGTTTTCTGAACTTATTGCTTCAAAAACATGCCTCCGCTTGGATGAAGATGTGGAAACACGTCCTTGGGACATTAGTATTCGTCATTTATCCTTGGTGTGTCGAAAGCTACAACGTAGCACTTGGAACAACATTCTAACTCTCAAGGGGCTGAGAACATTTCTCCCACTATGTCCTATAAACATCGGTAAAAGCAATCTACAGCATATATTGAAGAATTTAGTTTACATTCGAGTTCTTTCCCTCAGTGAAAGTGATGTTGCTATTCTTCCAGAGTGCATAAAGATGTTAAAGCTCCTTCGATACCTTGACATATCAAAAACTCAAATAGTAAGTTTGCCAAATTCAGCAAGCCAACTTTACAACCTACAAATTCTGAAGTTGAAAGGCTGTCCAAAGTTGAAATCATTACCCAAGGATTTCAACAAATTGCTTAGCTTACGACACATAGATTGGGAGATAGCTGATTTGAGACGTTTGACATCAATGCCATCAGGCATTGGCAAGCTCACTTGTCTTCAAACACTTCCTTTATTTACAATTGGTAAGACAGAAGGACATACAATCAGAGAGCTCAAGGATATGAATCGTCTAAAAGGCTCGATTTACATCAAAAATCTTGAAAATATCAAGGATGAGAAAGAGGCGGCAGCAGCAGAGTTATCTTGTAAGACTTCTATTGAAAGGTTGGAGCTCGAGGTAAGTAAGGACAGGATTGTTGGTCGAGATGTTTTCAGGTCCCTCGAACCTCCCAACTCTGTCAAAAAGTTGCACATAACAAATTATAGTGACCCTATGTTTCCAGAATGGCTAAGCCATTTACATAAGCTGGAAGATCTTTACATACAAGGGTGGCATTGCAGCCGACTGTCATCTAGTAGCATTCGATTCCCTCAGTCGCTACAAACACTGACATTGAAAGACACAACATTACCAAGGTTTCTTTGTTGCCGGGCACTGGATGGAGTTGATGCCACTGATACACCCCACCTTCACCGTCTTGTCATCAAGGAATGTCCGAATCAGACCAGCTTGCCTTCTCTTGAGCATCTGACATCATTGACAGATTTGCAAATCAGTGAATGTGACACACTTGGAGTGTTACCAGAGCTACCACCATCACTCAACAAACTTACCATCACTAATTGTGCTTTTCTGAAGGAACGTTGTCAGCGAGGCGCTAGTGAGTGGCCAAAGATAAGGCGCATTCCAACTTTGGTGATTGATGGTAACTGCATCATAACATCTTATGACACTTTCATGGTATGCATTATTTCACCCATCTTTTATACTTCCTCCGTTCTTTTTTTATTGCACCATGAGGGATTTCACGCTTGTCAATGCATTACTTAAACTATTAATATTTTCAATTATAATAAAAATTATAAAAAGTTGATATTTAAAAAGTAAATTTTTGATACGAATCTAACTAGATCAGTAGATCCCACACGATTATGTTTTTCCTAATGGATAAATAACAAATAATGGTCAACGAATATTAAGTGAATAGTGTAAAAGCCTTATGGTGCAATAAAAGAAAAACATAGGAAGTATACAATATACTTTTAAAGTGGATTAAATATAACTCTGTTAAAAACAATGATTTTGTTATAAAAAGATATTTGTATGTTTTTTTCAAAAGGGAATTACTGAAGAGAGTCCAGGATACAAATCACTTTGGACAAGGGTCAACCAACTTTTCAGGGCAGCTTAATCATGTTTATCAGGTTCATTTTGCAAGCTCACAATGATCAAGTACTCAAGTAAAACATGCTAGCTAGTATGTTATGGTGCCACTATTAATCTCGTTTAATTTGGTTGTAGTTTGTCATGCTATGCCAAGATCACGGAACTTCAACCATTATGACCACGCGACACGTGCTACATACCTCCTCCGGTATCTCTTCAATTCATAATTTTATGCACAAGTTGGAGCAAGTAGATCTCCAATCACTAGTCCCATATTCCCAGATCATTGTATGGCTTCACCTATTACCAATTGGTAGACAATGTGACCAATTTCAAATTATGTCTAGCTTGTTTTCATTCAATTTGTAAGTAATTTTGGTGTCCAATACACTTCATAAGCGTGCTACATGTTCTATTATAATTATTTTCCAAAACTTTAAAATAAGAGTGAAATATGGCTTGCTGTTATTTAATTTTCAATCATAAAAAGCCTAGTTAATTCTTTGGCCACTAATTAACAAATGATAATTTATAAGAATATCTTTTTTTTTACAAAAGCTTAAACAACAAGAAAAAACTAACTATATGACAAAATTAAAGGAGGATAGACTACAGTTTGTCGTCGTTGCAAGAACGTGCGCTCTGTCCACCAGTGTCTGATCTACCTTTAGGATGCTACACCCATCAAAACTGTTGCTATTTTCCCGAATGCGAGCGACTGTTTATCGAACTGAAACATCAGAATCCTGTGCATCCCGAAGACACCTAACAACTTCAGTAGAATCCATATAAATAGTAATTTCAGAAATCGACCTTACGATAGCCCATTGTAACCCTGCCAAACAGGCATTCATTTCTGCATGCAGAGCTAATTGAGGAAGGCCGCATGAAGCCCACTCTAGACACCCTTTTTCCCCGTACTGCCGAACCTCCGGACACCAAACCATACCTGATCTATTAGTGTGACTGTTCCACGAGCCATCAACCAGAATAACTGTTGGCCCCAGCAAGTTACCACTTCCCGAATCCTGCAACACAATGCAATAAAAACTCGGCGGGTAGTCGTTCACCCATTCAGGTGGGTGCAAGGAGCGAAGGTTCCAATCTTTCTTCACAGTAAAGAGACTGTGTTGGCGAAGACCTTCTGAAATAATTGTCGGTGTCGATAAAGCAACAACATCATGCGTGCTGAAGACCCTGTGATTACGCGCTATCCATAACCCCCAAAGAGTCACAATAATAAAGATCGCCCTGTGACCCTCAAAACCATCCTGGCTTAGAAACAGCCGGATATAGTACAAAATCTAATCGCCGAAGGATTGGTCTGCGTTAGCTTGTGAGAAGATATGTAATATTCCCCCCTCCATGCGTCCTGCGCAGTCATGCAAAACCTGAACAAGTGTTGTAAATCTTTTACCTGTGTCCCGCAGAGGTCACAACATATGCCTACCGCCAGACCGCATCTTCCCAAATTAGACTTTGTAGCAGTTCCATTCTGTAGCAGTTTCCACATAAACAATTTCCACTTGGGCATGATGTTCAGTGACCAGAGGATTTTATAGAGACCTGAGACGGGGTCAGTGAAACATGTTGAATCCGAATGTTTAAGGAATGCATACCCCGTTTTGACCGTGTAATGACCCGATTTATGGAATTGCCAGTACAAGTAATCCTCCGAGTCACTACCATTACCCGGTAACTCCATACTCGCCATTAAGGAAGCGTCTGTGTGGACAAACGCCGAATTTAGGCGAGCGAGGTTCCACTCACTTCCTGTAACACCCCCAAATTACTCTCCAATAATAATGATTACAAAACCTCATTAAGAGACTAACTTAAGAGCATTACCGCCACGTGATTACGTAAGGCTTTTCAAAACAGAGACTTGCAGTGGAGAAAATACATACTTAACTTTTATATTTTGATAATAGTAGTAATAATAGCTTTCAAAATTGAACCATATTAGAACTGTCCATACATAACGTCAACCATGAAACCTAGACTACATAATTATCGCCCTTCATCCCCATTTGCCACATTTAGATCACGTCAAGTCATCATCACCTATCTACTTATAATAATGATAAGTAGGGCCAAGCCAAAACAAAAGATAAATACGTATTAGCAAAACGCTAAGTACATACCAATGTTAGATACGTAAAATCAAGTTATTTAATTAAACATGCTTTCGTAAGATTTAGCATTTATTCAAACCTTCCATAAATAGAAACTTCACATTAAGAAACGTTTAGAAACATTCCAAAAACTATCACATTTCAAAACCAACGACTTTCCCAAAATAGATTCCAATAGAAATGGAAGATCAATATTTTCGTAAACCATTTTTCCACCTAAGTGTGAACACCCCCCAAGCTAGTAACTCCTTACATAGTGCTATCAAGGGGAAAGACTAGGTCATACATAGTCCATAGTCTTCAATTTTATCTCCACATAATGGAAGTCATAAAATCCAATATATATCTTTGATAAATCAACCTTCCAATTTCCGTGTATGGATTTCAACAACATTTGCTCTTTAAAATGAATTTGAATTCAAGTATGTGTATAAACAACTTTTAGAACATTGAAATTATTTCCAAAGATCAAACAGTAAAACATTTCACAATATTCATTTCATAAACATTCATAAATCCTTGTTCAAGATTCAAACATATTTCATCATTCAAAACACAATACACATTTGTATAAAATCACATATTTAAAGATCTAGCCACGAGTACGTACCTTGATCTTTACAACTATTCCACCTAGATTTACAACCACGAACTATCTCCTAAATAAACATTATATGGAGTATTTTAAATAAGAATCAAATACGAAACCTTAAAAAAATCATAAATTGAAAATAGATATTAGTTTTGAAAGACTAAAAGCAAAATAATATAAAGTAGCAAAGCTCACGGGAAGGTTCACGTTGAAAAGGAAGAGTCAGATATTGCAGAGGCCATATCTCATAGTATATAATTCCGAATTGGGTGATTCTTGAGCCTAACCTCAAGGATGTTTTGAGAAGAACAACTTTGTCTCAAATAGAAAAAGGCTAAAAATGAACAAAAGTGGATGAAAAATGGCCTGGAGCATATACGGGATGAAGAAGTACGAAAATGGGAGGAAGAGAGAAGACAAAAGGATGGAACTTTAAGGGCAAGAGACTTTTGGCTTAAAATGGCTGAACTTTGGGTCCTATTTATAGAGTTTGAGAGTCCTATTGACATCATGTATGATGTCAACAACTTGGGGGTCAAGGAACTTTATGAGGTCATGTTATTGACATCATGTATGATGTCAACAACTTGGGGGCCAAGTATTCAAGTTTGTAAGAGAAGTTTGTGACTTTGGTCATGCTTTAGGAGTAAGAAATGGACTTAGGCCTTTGGCAAAGAAATACTCAAGGTAGAAAAAAAAAATCTTATTTTCGGCTACTAAATTCCCGACTTGCATATTAAAATCTTTTTGTAAAACATAATTTTAACCAAATGATTTTCGTAAATAAAACTAAATAAAATTCATTTGTGTCACTTTAAAACATAATAATATGTATTATTAATAAACTATGACGTATTCAAGTCCAAACATAATTAATATTTCACAAAACGGGTTTAAAAATACGGGGTATTACACTTCCCGACGGGCAAATGAAGTGACTCGCTTTCCAATCCTTAGCCTGGCGTAAAGTGACCGAAGATTTAAATTCTGGTACTCTTCCATTCAACCACCTATCCTTCCCTGCCACTATAGACCTACCATTTCCCACCTTCTAACCACAACCCTCGAGCAGCGTATTCCCTGCTCTTATCAAACCCCTCAATCCCCAAGAGAAATTCTTATTCCGATACTGAACCTGATGACCTTTAGCTAGTGGACTCTGAAACCGGACGGCAGTCAAACTTGCGTGAGTAAGAGCTGAGGGTTGTAAAATTGTAGACACCTAAAAATGTCTCCCCAAAACCAAATTCCCGATGATGAACAACCTTTCACCGCCACTATTGGTCGGGTTAAGTATTTAATCCCGAGAGTGCTTAAAAATAACGTATTTAATTAAATTCAATTTTTCAATAGTCCATGGATCAGTCTTGATGTTTGGTCAAAGTATAGATTTTTTTAGTTTCAGCCCAAACCTTTTTTATTTTATTGTTTTATTATTTATTTTGGCCCAAACCTTTTATTTATTTTATTTACTTATTTTTTTATTTTAGCCCAAATAATAATAAAATCAGAAAATGGCCTGAAATTATCAATCGGCACTTAAAATGCTGAATGAAATTAGGGTTAAAAATGAATTTAGACGGAAAAGCGGACTGAAAATTCCCGCGTCACGGCAACAGTCCACCGTGTCACGGGAAACTTTCCCGTTTGACGGTGAGGTTCCCCGTGACACGGGAATTTCTGTGTCCTTTCCGCGTAAACCCTTAATGCGTTTTCTCCCCCATTCACTAAATATTTCCCGCGTCACACAAAATGTGCACCGTGTCACGGGAATGTTTCCCGTCTGACGGTGGGATTTCTTGTGTCACGATACACTTTGCCGTGTCGCGGGATACATTTTTTAGGGTTTTTATCATTTTAGGGTTCCGTGTGTTCCCTCGGCACATTTTTCCTATAAAAACCCCCTCATTTCTGATGTACGGGACATCAATTAATTCTCTATTTTTCTCTCTTCTATGCTCTAGCCTAAACACTAGCCTACCCTTCTTTTTTCAAAATTCCTTCTTCAAGTACTCCAAGGAGTCCATACTTTACTCGTGGTTCTGTCCTTAAGCCAAGGCGTGAAAAGTAGAACTGTTAGAAGGTTTGGCCCCAATTCAATTCTATTTAATTTAATTTAATTATTGTGTTATTATTATTTCCTTGAAGTTACTAACTGGTTTATTATTTTGTAGTTGCAAGCAAACAGAATCAAAGTAAGAATTATGAATTTGGACAACCGGTTTAGGTTCCTTTTTAATCTTGTTGTTTAATCAAGTGATCACTAATATTTTAGAATTATGTGTTGCATTAATATTCAACCAATTTAGCTTAATAATAGATTGGAGCAAATTGAATATTTTGTTTGTATGCCTTTGAGATCGCAGGAATCACTTTTCACTATAAGAATCGAGTATAGGCCAATACGGGCGAATGTGACTCCATGACTCACTTCGTACCATCATCCCCGATCCTCCTTTCGTGATTCCGAACCATATGGAGGCTCCCTACTTTCCTTGTCCTTAATTGTATACGTCAATTCCCACTTCCTAAAACTGCCAAGCATATTCACACATGCTTAACGTAGGCGCACTTCGAACGACGCCTACAATTTGGCGACTCCATTGGGGAGGATTCTTGGTTATTTATCGATTTGAGTGATCGGTATTTAATTAAGATGAGTGGATGAGACTTGAAAGAATCTTGAAAAATATTCCTGTGATTAATTTGGCATTTTTTCATAAGCATAGACATTTTAACGTCGCGTTTAGGTCTGTCGCGTAGGAAAAATTGAATAACTTGATTGCGTACGAAGAAAAACAGGGCACCAGACAGATTTTCTAATTGACGTGCCACGGCAGAATATGCCATGTCACGGTGCAGTACACCGTCTGACGGTGTGCAGTACCGTGGCACGGGAATCTCTGTCGTGGCACGGGAATCTCTTCCGTGTCACGCCAGTCCTAAAATCAGTCCGGTGGCTTGTTTTATCTACTCACAGTCAACTTCCTTCGATTTTTCTAAAAAAACGTGTGTGTTCTACATGCGTCTTAGCCCCGGGGGATTTAAGCTCTATCAACCCAAAAACGCTCATGGCAATAAGGGTTCATCCGAGTTATTAAATCCACCCAAACCATGGAGTTGAGTTTGATTTCATCACGAACTCGCGGAGCCGCCCGTTGGCATACACCCTCAAGGGAGGCTGCCTTGCTAACGCGTCCAAACTCTTAACCATGGTACCTTATTGACACCAAATAAACCTGACCATAGTCGAACATAGAACTTGACCATAGGTTGCGAACTATTCTTTGCATCATTGTGCCTACATGTTTTATATTTAGTCGTTCTGATCCTAACTTTAACGATCTTTCTTTGTCTATAGTGAATTATTTTATGACTAACGATTGCCAATGGGCCGTACTCACTTAGTAATTAGCAAAACAAAAAGGGAAGGGTTGTCGCGACACGGGACTGTCCACCGTGGCACGGTGGAATTGCCAAAAAAAACTCGTGCCACGTCAGCATCCACCATGGCACGGGAAAGTTTTTCGCGCCACGGGAAACTCTACCATGTCACGACAAATTTCCACCGTGGGGCGGTGGACCTGCAGCAAAAAAAAAAAAGTGCCACGTCAGCATCCACCGTGGCACAGGAAATTTTATCGTGGCACGGGAAAGTTCACTGTGTCACGGAAATTTCCACCGTGGCACGGTGGATTTCCCAAAAAATAAAAAAAAATTTCGTGCCACATAAGCATGCACTGTGTCACGAGAGAGTTCACCGTGGCACGGGAAAGTTCACCGTGTCACGACAATTTCCACCGTGGCACGATGGATTTCCAAAAAAAAAAAAAACCACCGCGTCACGGCAACTTGTACCGTGACACGGTACAGTTTTCCGTGTCACGGTGCCCTTGAAATAAGTCCAGTCAGCTTTTTTTAAGTCTTCCGTGTTAATTTGGTCCTCGTGTCAGTCATTTTTGTTATTGTTCACATGTCTAGCCATACGATCATACCACGAGTCTTATAACATCACTTAGTCACTCACGAGTCAAGTATAGTCCACACACTTTCTTTATGTTCCGACTCGAGCCGTGCACCAGGTCATTTATGATCGTATATTAGGTTCATGGTCCCTTTTTCGTCATAATAAAAAAATGAGTGGAGTTTTCTCACCTGTTTTCAAATGTCTATTTTTTCCTTCCTTTCCTATCTTGAGAAATGAGTCAAACAATTAAGTGAATTATTTTATTTCACAGTACTTGGTCAAGGAACAGGGATAGATTAATACGGTTCGAGTCATTACCGCAACAATCTCTCAGATCTAATAGGCATTCAAAGAGAACTTTGTTATCTCCATTACTCATCACCTTTCAATGGCCACTAAATAAGATATTGAGAACATCAACAAATCCATCGAGGCACTGTCTTCCATGATGCAAACCCTTACCACTAGGGTCACTACAATGGAACAAAACAAGGTCACTGTTTCCACCCTTGACAAACTGAAGGAACAAATGAGTAAGATTTCTGAGGATTTCACATATGTGGAACGGCCTCCCACTCCTTTGGATGTGAAGGACAGACTCCCTAAAAAGTTCTCCACTGCTGATATTCCAAAGTTCAAGCCTACTGACAGTCCAATATTCCATTTGAAGGCATTCTCTGCAACCATGGCTCTTAAGGGATTGGACGTAATACTCTTCCCTACGGTGTTCCCTCTCTCCTTAGAACATGCTTGCCAACAATGGTTTTATTCCTTAGATGCCAAGCATACTGCGACTTGGCAAGATGTCACCGACAGTTTCATGAATCGTTACTAGTGTAACATTCAAACAAAAACTTCTAAACGTGAACTCTCCATTCTCAAACAGAAAGAGAATGAAGGCTTCACCGCTTACCTGAACAGGTTGAGGGAAACAGCTTCACTCTTGGTAGATCCTCCCAAAGAAAGAGAGATGGTTCGCCTTTTTATTCAAAATCTGACTCATAAATATAGGGAACATCTCAAATTTCTACCACTGAACAATTTCGAAGCTGTATACGACATCGGTATCAATATCGAGTGTTGAGTAATTAGGTTTTGATGATTGTAAACTAATGATGATTATATATCTAATGTGTTTGATAAGTTGTTCATAGAAAGAACAAGTTATACTTGGAACATGATACAAGGAACCTGAGCAGTCACATATATATATATATATATATATATAAGGAACTTAAGCAATATATGATAAGCAATAGAAGAACAAGAACAATAATGAGTGTTATGGTTGATAAGCATGAAGATGGCTATGGAACTATGAAGGTAACTATGTAAATAGGTGTTTGCATATGTTAGCTTCATAAGGTAAGTACACTATGCATACATGAGTTGTATATGTGTAGGAGTATTTACATAAGGTTTGAGTTTAATTAGTTCTCTCACTTGAAGTTTGTTATGACAAACAAACTTCAATCTAATGTTTCTCTTAAGTGTTTATGTGAAGACAGGAATTGACTTAGGT